ATTTTCTATTGTGGAATACAGGTCTACAAGTGAATCAAATAATTTTCAGAAATAGGCTAAAAATTTTGTAAGAAATGCTAAGTCTAAACAACGACTGTGAAAACATTTATAATTCAGCCCATCATGTTCCTGGGATTGTACAGTCCTGCAATGACATATATGTCAGGAAGAACTCACTGAACATTAGGAAGACTTTTTCTTTTGTCTCTCTGGAATGGAAAATGTTTGATCTTTTTCTTCTAAACCTTTATGCAAAATGTGAGCTCTGCAAAAGATGTTTTCAGAGGAGGTGGGATTTCAAGTGGAGAATGACTAGGTGGCGGGGGTGGAGGACGGAGACTCTTGTGGGAACATCCGAGGGGTTTCAAGGGCACCTTAGCCAGGAGGAAGGTTACCCCTAGTGCCTTGCAGCAAGGGGATGCTATAATAAGCCCTAAATTGAGGGAACCAGAAGTCCTAAAAATGTATTAAAAATTTATGAAAGACTTCTTGATACCATCTCTGAGCACAATAGAAAACAGCAAAAAAGGCATTTGAGACTACTGAAAAAATATTATGTCTATACTTAAGAACTAAAAGAAAAAAAAGGGCTCAGCTGACGATAACCTGCGCAGTGTTTACAATGATAAAATTCCTCCAGGAGCGGAGACTGGTAGTTAAGCTGTAGAAAGGTTATTATTATAAGAAATAATAAGGATACAAAGGCTAAATTTTAGATTCCTAAGAAATGGCACTAGACTATCACTTAGTATAATGGAGTGACTAAAGCAAAAGGAGAAAAACATAAAAGGCTGATTTCTACTCTAGGGAAAAAAAATACGGAGGACCTCAAAGTCTAATCCTCGGTTACTCTGAGTGAGTGTAAACTGACAAAGAACTCACTGTAAAATTATCTTATGTAACAAACAACTACAGTATAATTCACCCAAAATGTGAAATGTAGCCATATTAAAAACAAACATGAAACAATCAATGAAATTTCATAGGTTCCAATAACTGGTTAGAAACTAAAAGAAATATATCATTTCACAACAGAAATGTTAAAATTACATATGTTGAAATAATTTAGAGTTTTACATTATCTTTAAAAAGAAATATCACAGGCCTCTAATATGAAAATGTCAAAACATTATGGGAAAAGCCCTGAAAAAGTTGTATGAAGTTTATGAATAGGAGGAAATACTACTTGAAACATACTAACTACTACAAACTATTGTATAGAATTCGTACAATCAAATTAAAATAATCAGAATTGTGCTTTTCAATTGAAAAGGTGATCCTAAACTTCACTTGAAATGACAAAAAATTAAAGGCTAACAACCTTAAGATGCAATGAAAAATAGAATTGAGGTAGAATGTGTTTCTCTAGATGTTCAAAACTATTGTGAAGTCCTAACAAATGAAAGTTTGACCCAACAAACAAAAGACATGGATAAAACCGAGCAGCCGCTCATCTACATGAGAGCTTAGTATACAATGAGTAGCATCAAGATCAATAGATAAAGAGAAAATCACTCGATAAATTATGCCTGGGATAAATTTCCTAAAAAAAACCTCAATTGTCAATATTAATAAAAATCAAATAAAGGTGGCTAAAGGGCCAAAATTAATATAAAAGTAATATTTTAAAAATTTGTCAATATAGGGGAATCAAATTAAAGAATGTCTACAAAGAGTAGAGGCAGTTAAAAATCTTTAAAAAGAGAAACACAGGTCAAAATCTTAAAAGTTGTTCTCATTATACATAGAAAATTTAAATAAAGCTACCACATATCTGACGTAAGTTCTATGTAAAGCATACACTAACACGTATAAACCAATGAACATACCAATAAATTGAAAGACAAATACTTAAATCACTTAATTTACAAAATTTTAAAAATGCACACTACTAAATGTATTTAAAAACCCAAACTTCATTAATGTAAGGAAAGTTAAAAAGGAAAAAAAAATCGACCTAAGTATTTGCCTAATATAAAATGACAATTTCAATACAGGGTGTGGCCACATTTAATCGGTGGAAAAAATGTGTCTTAGAGGAATTTATTTGAAATGCAACACAGCATGGACTTTAGCAGCTTTTAAAAATCATGGGTATTTTTCTAGAAGAACTGAAAACATCATACCACAGTGCTATATGTGCACCCATGTTTATAGCAGTGTCATTTGTCATAGCTAAACCTTGGAAGCAACCCAAATGCCCATCCGCTGAGGAATGCATAAAAAGAGGTGGTATTTTTATGTCTATAATGGAGTATTACTCAGCTAGAAAGAAAGATAAACTAGAGGCTTTTATAGATATATGGATGCAACTATAGACCATACTCATAAGTGAAACAAATCAGACCCACATATGTAAACATTGTATTGTCCCCCTAGTGTAAGAACTTGAAAGAGTAAATAAAATCTGAAGGGCACAATAGATATTCTGAAAAGGAAAGAAACTTCTCAAAAGGAAAGAACAAACAGGATGAGGGAAAGGAGAAAAGAAAGAAAGAAGGAAGGAAGGGAAAAAATATATATGTATATACAAGAATAGCTGGGATAATTCTACTGCTGACTTCTATTGGTTTATTGAAAGAAAGAGTTAATGCTTAACGTTTTTTCTTTTTTATTTTTTTGATGAATTTTGCATGCTTATATCTGGTAATATGAAGAACTAATTTGAAGACAACAATATGCAATATAACAATCGCTGTTGAAATCCTATCATCTTGTTTAGAGAAATTCTGTACTGTTTCTACTTTTTTATTTTCCTCTATAAAAAATAGAAATAAACACAAATTATTGGCCCTATTCTATGTCAATAAAAAGAAACGCAAAGTACTCAACATAGAAAGATACTCTTCAGAGCATTATTTATGTTGCTGCCAAAAGGAGAGAGATGATCCACATTATTGGAATAAATAAAATACAGTGGAATACCATACAACCATTGAAAGAATATTTTGGGAGAATAGTTAATTAGATGACAAAATTCTAATGTTATTTAAAATATGATATAAAAATTGACAAACACTTTTACACAACATAGTGAAAAGAAATAGAGTGTTACATGAGAAAATAAAGAAGAGGAAGGAGGAGAACAGAAAGAAAAAACGGAAAGAGGGAGAGAAGGGGGAGCGGACAGGAAGGGAGACCAACAAGACGATGTCAGGAGAAAGAGCAATCCAAATGTTCTTCATGATTATTATCTTTGTTCAGTGAGACGTCCTATATTTTTTATTTTCTCTTTTATCCTGTACATGTTTGCAGATTCCTTACTGTGGCCATTTATTATTTTTATAACTTGGAAAAACAGTCATTTTTAAAAAGACTATTAGGGATAGAAAAATTCATCGTGCATCCCTATCAGTCCTGAGAATATCTTCAGGCAAAGGGAGATAAAATAATGAGTGTTGGCTGTTTTCCCAGGATTCCAAACCAAAGGGGTGGCTTCATGAATTTAGGGGGAGGGGGGCAATGACTTTGGAATTAGTCACCAAAAAGAGTGAAATGTTTGCCTTTGCATACTGGAGACCCATCACTGGGCTGAAGCAAAGGAAAAGCTGATGATGTCATGTCATAGATATTTCTGAAAATGGTCTAGAAGTTAATAGAATTATTTCTTGATCCTATCTGTCTTGACAGGCATAGTAAACTCCTACCATGGTCATGGTAAATTTTTGCTGCTACAAGAACAAAACAATCCCCATCTGTCCTTCACACACCCCGACCACGACATCTGTAGAATTTTGCTCCTCTCCCTAACTAGGAAGTATGAAACTATTTCTGTGGGGTTACTCCACCTCTTTTGAAAAACCTAAAAGAAATTACACTTGTTTTTTAGGGTGAGTTTTCGAGCCTGAAGATACTCTAATCTCATCTGTCTTTCTTTACCTCTACTGTTGTCAGCCTGCTTATTAACACGTCCATCCAAACGCTATGGGATAGACAGCCTGGGTTGATTCTGTTCGCTGCTCTGCTAAAACCTGTACCTGGGAGATGAAGTTAGTAAAGTCGCTCTGATCTGGATTTAGGAATTCTGTTTGCAAAAATACAATTTGTAGTAAGGAAAGGAGGGTAGAGATTGAATACAAGCAAGTACTTCAAGCATCTTGCACATGAGGCTGTACCTACCCTGGAAAAGCAGCTTAACAAATAAAAATCAGTTATTTCCTTCATCCATGACATTCCTCTTACCCAAACTGGGAATTTATATGTAGAGATAATCAGAATGCATGATAGTGTAGATCACATCTGTCAAATGATAAATTCGAGTCACCTTTAAGTGGCTCCCAGGAATCCACTTGAGTTAATAAAACAAAAAGCCCCCCTTTTTAAATAAGTTAAAAGGAACAAATAAACTGCTTTATATGAATGTACACATGTCACTAGTATTAAAAATATCTGTGGTAGCATTTGGACCACTTTACGAATATTCTTAAAAGTTACCTGTTTTTTGTATTCCCTTAAGGTATGATCAGAATTGCTATCATGTATTATTAGGAGACTACATTATGGTTTATCTTTAGCCAAATGACATGTTTTTAACTCTTCCAAAAACCTCACAAAAAGACGTTTACCCATCTCAGAGAGTATGGTCTCATTTTTAAATCTAACCTCAGTTTAATCTCTTTCTCACAGCTACAACATACAATGAGTTGTTTGCTCTTTTAGAAATACTATTGCTTTTAATGTAGATTAGTCCATGTTTGAAGTTTCTAAGGACAAATTCCATCAGCCTAAAATTCAATTGATTTTTGTTTTTCTGTAGACTTGGATTTGAAGTTAAGAATAAGATGATATCAGAGCTAGGAATATTTCCTTGAGTTCTTAATTTTTAAATTTCGAAAGAAATGGCAATGGCCGCTACACGGTTCATTTCTTTTGACAGAATGAAAATAGGAAGACCCTCGGAACTATTTTCAAAACTTGCCCAGTACAGCACAACGTGACCTATGATCAATAGATCCTCATGCTTTGATATGTTACAGCGGGAACTTTCAAAAATGACTTACTGGGTTGTACATCTGATTGAACAACTGCTCAGCTTGCTACATTGCAAAGTTGGGGAGGCATTGAAGCACAGACAAGGAAAGAAGGAAAGATCCAGAAAAACAGCATTAGCTCAACAAATCCGGTGCATTCGCACAGACAAACTGGTCGTTAAAAAAATGAAAAAATTTCAGTTTCTAAACATTCCACAGTGAAAGTGAGATACTCTAGGGAAATACAAATGTTGACTTTGGCTCCTAAAAAAGAATAGCTGGAATAAGAAATTTAAGGTTTGTGTTACTTTCCCTTTCTCAAGTTAAATAACCCATGAAATAAAGAAAGCTGTCTACTTTTGATGATACATGAAGTGCTGGCCTCCAGCAATGAATCAGAAGAAGTACTTCTGGCCAACCCTGCAATTTATTTCCTGAACTTTAAAGATGGTAATAATAGAAGATTAATTAAATCTTATCACTGAATTTCTGGTTCTTCTTTTATATTAACACAAGCCTGACTATCCTATTCAGTTTAACTTCAGAAAAATATAGACCAGAAAATGGCAGATTAGTAGTAGCACAATATCAGTAAGCAAAACATTATCAGATTAAGTTAAATCTTAATCTAGAAAACAAAAAATTTAAGTCAGTAGTAGATTTAAGAGAATCATGGTACAGTATTGTCCATTGCCTACTACTAGATTTGACTATTATTTGAGAATTAATTTTAAAGTTATAATTTTCAAAGACATTCTATGACTTTACAATCCTGTCAATTTTACATACAGAATTAAATGGCTATGGATTTAAATGTACTACTTAATATTATTTTAAATAGTACCTTCAAGTTATATTTCCTAAATACTTGCATCATGAACTTGGGACTCAACAGCAAGGTGTAACAGGTGAACTATTACAGAAACTGTTACTTCAAATTGAGACAGGCCTTTTGTAAGAGCCAGGATTCCTGTTCCTCTGACTTGTGTAAAAGAAATGATTTCTTTTATGATTTAAAAGCTTTCTCCTCAAGCATAACATTAATTGGAAAACTACTAAACAGCATAAATCATAGCATTTTGAATTGCTATTGCTTCTCACCTAATTTCTAATCAGACAGGTTAACTGCCTGCTATATCTTGAACCTAAAAATCCTCTTGTGAGAGACAACATGATCCATACATCAATAGCCAATTTCTTCTCAATCCGGGATGTCTATAATTGATGAATGCATTGAGTTATAAAGCAAACTCATAACTAGTGGGTATGCATCATTTGGTTAGAATTATTGAAGAAGCCTCATTAACAGTAAGAATTTCCTTATTGTGAATATCTGACCGCATTGTTTTTAAGAGTTAGGATGGAATGTGTAAAGCAAAGTTCTTTTTCTGCCTATAGCCAGTTTTTACCATCAGGTATTTCAAGAAGTCTTATAATTTAAGCCACATAGTTAAGAGTTAAAATTATATGCGTGAATGTTCTACACAAACTTATACGAAAAAGCACAGTTTACCAACGATCAAGCACTGTTCAGGAGGCAAAAATAAAAATTTCGTTTGGATTTTATCATCACTGGAAGACAAGTTTCTAAATACATCTATGATATTGTATGGATTTTATGACAAAAAATACCTAGACACTCACAAATTTTGAGCAAAATTCCACTGGGACTTCATGGTGTATTTATGACATAGTAAAACTATTATGTTTCAGCTTTCATTTAGTGAGCCTTTATATTTTATTCACAGGTCACATACCCTTTTATTTAAAAGGAGGCCCAGACACTCCTTAAGATTTTACAGCTGCTTATTTTTCCATGAGTAAATGATGTGTTTATATGCATATTCATACAATGTTGGCTTATATTTTCAAATATTTCACGTAGATCTCAATTCTTTTTAAGGTGATGGGTACTTGAGGTTTTACAAAACTATTTACTAGCAGAAATTAAACACTACTGAAAAAATATTTTAAACTTTTGAATTTAGTTAATGCTACAGAGCCAAAAATAACAAAATAGCATCTGCAGGTTAGGCATAAAAATATTTAAATTATCATTACCTTATTAAAGTTTACTGCACTGTGCAGTTAGGAGATAGTATAAACAAAGATCATATAATTACTGAGAAATAAATTATCTTTTCATAAATTAAATAGTTCCTTTACAGTAAGACAACTATATTTGCCACTTTACTTCTGGTAATGTAGAATATTAAAATGCTGTCAGGCACAACGTTAACATATTTATGGGATCTGGTTTGTGAACTTCAGTAAATGTGTCCACCTGAGAGACGAAGGAAAACGCACATTGAAGGTGATCTCTTGGGCAAACCACAGCTATGGTGAAACTATAGAAGATGATTTATTAAACTAATCAAGACATGTACAAGAAAACTAAAGGCATCAGTATGTGAGCCTCTTCCTTTTTAATTACTGGAGGATTCCAAAGTCCATAGATGAGTTACATTAAAAAGGAGGGTGCGGAGCATGTATCTACAAAAATCACCCATGATTTACATGCAATATGATCTCCATGATAGCTCATCAGAATTGATAGAGGGTGTCTCTCTAGCCCAGGTCTATTGGAGATTCTCCCTCCTCCACACTCAGCACACTGCAAATGAACTGAGATAGTGCAGAGGACCACCACAGGGAGCCAGTGAATGTCTCTCTTACAAACTTATCTTCAGACCTTCCTTATGATCTAAACAAATAAAAGATATCTTCATATATCAATTTTTTGATACTTACATACATGCATACAATATTGTAGAACACATTTATATATATGTCAGGAAGGTATAGCATACATCAATGCATAAATAGCCAAGTCAATCTCATTTAAATACCCTCAAATGGGTATTTTAAATGTTTATTTACTGTTCAAGATTTCTGCTTAACTAAATATTGCTTAAAAATAAGGGAGATGTTGAGTGGACTATGAAATAGATTTAGACTTTTTTGTCATTTTGTTATAAGGAGGCTTGATTATATATTTATATTTTATTATGTAAGTTTGTAGATTTTGTTAGTGTGGAATGTCTCATGATAACGTCCTAAAATTCCATGTAAGGTGATCACAAAGTAGTCATATTTAAGTTATATATTCCATCATACAAAACAGTATGTTAAAATTTAAAATATCCAGAATATTTCATCCACAGATATGTGATTCTTTCACATCCCTGACCATCCATGTCATTTACTTTCATAACTATAGCTAATAAATACCTATTCTATTGTGTTAGAAATGATACACATTTTATATGCTTTATTTGGATGTTTAGATTCTTACTCTGTTTTGAATAAGTTTATAAGTTTTCAAAGGGAAACAAAATGCTTAAACTCATAATGTTATGAGTTTTATGTGAACAATGAGTGCAGACATACCGAACAACACAGGGAGTCAAAGGAACAATGCATGACTGGAAATGCACTCCACAAAAATGTTTGGGTCAGAGAAAACATTTGAATGCCACAATATAAAGAGCTTGCTTACTTTTCCAAAGCTTTCTAAATAGAACAAGCTTTCTTAAGACAGTAAGGCCAGTTTTTGTCAAATACAAATAGTTATTCTACAGATATGCCTAGGGACTTGACTATTTTTATGAAATTCTAGATATTTAATTTTGCCAGAAAAACTTCTGCAAAGCTATAATACAAATATTAACCTACTTCTGAAGTCAATAGAACTTTATCAAAAAATAATGACATGCCTGGGTTCCTTGTTTTGTTGAAACAATTTTCATTTATTTTTTGATAGTTGAGATTTGCCCAGAGAGTAATGGCTGGTTTTTATAATATTTTTTCACTTCTACCATTTTCTACTACTTTGCACTTTTCTTTCCACAGGAAACCTAAAGTAATTTTTCAGGTTCACAGACAGATGGATGTAGACCTCTTAGGATACAGTTAAGAGTGTTTAATTAATTCTTTTATCAGCAGACAGCAAAAGATAAGGAGTTTGTTTCCTTTGAAAAATGTCTCTTCCATTTTATAAATTCATTCTCAAATAAGCATGTATTTTCTTAGAGTTCACTTACCTTTTTTAACTGTGCTTCCAGTTTGCTACATTCCTCTTTCTTTTGTTCGATGGCTATTTCTAGAGATTTTAATTTGGAGTCTCTTTTCAGCCCTGCAGAGGCTAATGAAGATGCATGTTCTTTGAGGTCAATTAAACTAGACTGAAAGAAAAAGAATGTAGTAAGTAAAACACTGCAATTTCTCTTAACAATGAGTTCAGTTTGAATACACTGATCCCGTACACAGCAATAAAATGCACATTAGACAGAGCAGGTAAATATAGTCTTACTGAAGTAGCAATAGTCAGCTCTGGCCAGGAAATTAAAGTTGACCAGCTTACACAACCAAGAAGAATTTAACTGCAGTAAAATCAAATGTGACCAAACGGTGCGGTCAGTAAAGGCATTTTACACATCTCAAAGTCATGCTAATGATGTAAGTCCTAAGGTAGTCTTTCCATGTCATGGTTAAGCAGACACCATGAGCCTTCCATTTACATGTATTGAAGGGCCATGCAGACTGGGAGGCAATTATGACACAAAATATCTACTTAATGCTTTCCCCATCAAGGGCAAATGAAATATATATACATATAAATTTTTTTGGTACTGGGAATCGAACTCAGGACCTTGTGCTTGCTAGGCAGATGCTTGTGCTGCTGAACTATATCCCCACTCCACAAATCCAATATAAATGGAGCAACTTATTAAAATTTTTTATCAATTTCTATTTTTTTAACTGAAAAATAACTACTGGTTTTTCAAACATCTTCTGGAGAACCAAAGATAAGAGTATTTAAAATTTAAAGGAGATTTTATCTTCCAGCCCTGTGTAGTCTAGATTCATTCATTCACACAGAATGAACCTCTGCAACTCAGAATGAAGTTGCCTATATTCTCCCAACCATCAATTATGTCCAGAAACTAAGTGCTTGTCCTTACAGTCTGAATTCCAAAAACAAAAGAAATAAACACTTTCTCATATCACTGAATATAATTTACAAGGGTATTGTGGTTTATATCTAGATGTTCCCCCAAAGCTTCAAGTGATCATAAGCAGGGCTTTGGGGAGGTGAGTGGATTGTGGGGGTGCCACACTGATTGGTGTATTAGTCCACCGATGAATTTTTAGCTAAATATGATATTAGGAGGTAGGACCCATTTAGAAGAGGTCACCAGGGTGTGGCCTGGAAGGGTGCATCTCCCTTCCCAGCTTCTCCCTTGACTCTCTCTGCTTCCTAGATACCATGAGATGAACTGCTATTCCTCCACTAGGCCCCTGTGCCATTCCATTCTGCCTTGGAGACATCCGATTATTGGGAATTTTGTCACAGTGAGAAAGTGATTAAGACAAAGGACAATGGTCGTTACCAAATATGAACGGGGTTGCAACATTTAACTATGTTACTGAAATATTTAGTGTCCACCCAAAATCAGACAGTGTGTACTTCCTGTTTTAACCATTTGTAGCCCCTAGAAAGATCCTAAACACATATAGATCTCTAATAGCTACTCATGTTGGGCTGTATGGACACTGGAATGACCTTGATGACCATAGATATTGTCACCCAGTAAGGTGCTCCTTAACACTCTGAGCTCTTTTTATTTTTCTGGTCAGGAAACTGAGGTTAACATTACCTGAGTATCAAAGGCCATCTAGCTACTACAGGCAGATATAAGTCTAAAACTCAAGTCTACACTCTGATTTCAGTGTTCTTTATCATATCACTCCCACAGAAATAATAATGGACTTTATAACCCAGTCATTGTGTCGTAATGAAGTTTATTACCCCAATTAAATTGTAAGTTCCCTGCTAACTGCAACTCTATGTTTTTTTTGTTTAATAAATTTTAAATTGCTGGTTTTGATGACCAGTTTTATTCAATTTGACTAAGCTACAGTCCCCAGTTATTAATGTGGGTGTGCTGTAAATGTATTCTGTACACAAGACTAGCATCCCTAATCAGCTGACTTTAAGGAGATTATCCTCAATCTTCTGGCTGGGCCTGGTCTTATCATTTGAAAGACCTTATGAGCAGAACCCATAGTAGGAGGAATTCTGCTTGCGTACTATATCATCAGCCTCTAAAGGTTTCTAGTCTGCTCTTCGTGATGGCCCACCTTACACATTTTGGCCTTTCCAAGACTCCATGATATATGAACCAGTTCCCTGCAATGAATTCTTTAATCTATTTACATGTCTCAATAAGGTTCCATTTTCCTGGCAGAAGTCTGACACACTCAGCTCAGTACCAAGCACATAGGTGCAATAAATGTTTCTGGAAATGTCTGAAATTCATTCATTGTTGGCATTCTTTACAAAACTGTTTTCATTTAATGCTTATGCCCTATCATCATCAAGGTGTCTTTTCAATTGGAATCCATCCACTGACTTTGTGGTACAAAACTACAAATAACATTTCTGATCAATAAACGATATGACATATGAGGACAGTGCTTCTGAACTTCTTTCTATTACATAAAAATTACAGTAGTTAAAAGTCAACCATGTCAGAAGTAGCAGTGAAAGAGTAAGAAGGTGACTTAAATTCTTAATCTTCATATCAAAAAAATAATATTCATTCTGAAAAAGCTAGTATAGCTTTGCTTCTGGGTTTCCTCAGAATTCCTCTTATTCATCACCCTTCTTTGTCTGGATTTGCAAATGAAACAGGACTTGAATTTGCATAGAATTACCAACATTCAAAGAATGAGATAACATGGTGAAGCTGGGAGTCAGAAGGCTGTGCAGAGGCCCAGTGTCCGTAGGGCTATAAAACTTGAACAGACCTAAGGGAGAACAACACTTCCTGCAGACAAAAGTAGTGCAAAGCGGCCGGTTGTAGACAATGACACGTATCTTAAGAGTTGTGGTGGATGGATAAAATAATGTGCATGACTGCTCCTCATACATTTCCACCAAAGTATACTGGAGAAAATAGAAGAGATTATGGGTAGCCTCTGGAATATAGGAGGTATAATCCAAAACATTCTTTCTAGAACTCTCAAGCAAGAAATTTATTTGAAGTATTTAGTCTTACTTGAAAAACACAAGTAACATTTATCTTCTGTATTCACATTTGCTCTATCATGAGAATACTGCTTTAAATTATTTACTGTAACATAAAAATAAAATTTCAGGTGAGCAACCACATTTCATTTATATCTCTGTGGCCATGAGAGTGCTACATCTCTAAGCTGGGTGATGTGGGTGATCCATTTGTGAAGCTCAGACAAATGTAAAGCACGCAGCACAAGCATTCATACACAACAGTCCCTCGCTCAGAGCGGACCTATTATTCATTATTATCAATTCTGTTATTATCTCAAGCAAATGATCGTGGAATTTTTAAAAATACGGAATCTTCTAAGACATACAAGTGTGGTAAGGCATAAAGAAAAGTTTCAGGATGCCGAACTGTGCCAGTCAGCAGAACAGAGAAGATATGCAGAGGGTATCAGCACAAAAGGAATTTACAGGAAATATTTTCCTTTAAACTTAGGAAGCTTTGCAAACAGAGGGTCATAACACTCCCCAAACCTTCACACAATCCTTTCAACTAAGTCTAGTTCCCAGCAGCTATAACAACGCTGAGTTCAGGAGGATTATGAACATGCTTCATTTGTTTTCCCAGACTCACTTCTTTCTCTGTCAGTTCAGCTTGTAAAGCATTGACCTTCTCTTTCAGGTCCTTGTTCTCTTTTCGGAAGGATTCTATCTCTTCTAGTCTTTCCCGATCATCTCTCTCCCGCTGTTCTTTCAAGCGTTCAATTATTCTCTCCTATGAGGCATTCATCAAAAAAGAAGTGAGAACACGTCAATATCCACACTAAAGCATCATATAAAAGGAAACAAGACATTCCATCCAAAAATATTCTATGAGAATCAACACACACAATAAACTCAAGACTATGGAAAGAAATGGCATAGCACTAGCTGGACAGCAGATATATACAATCAGTATAACTTTTGAGTCAGTAGTATAATTTAGTATCATAGGGTTACATGGATCTTAATGTTCAAGTGCTGAGGCTGTACTAGTTCACGGTGGTATCTGGCAAAAGCCTAGAGTCATTCTTGGAAAGGTTCAGGCACCCAGATCAGACTGCTGAAGCTTTGCACACTCAAGGGGAAGAAGCAGAATAAACCTCTTCACACAGACCCCTTGCTTGGCCTCCTTGCTTGGCATTAAAAAGCCTTCTGTGGTTTCTGAAGAATTTCTTTGGCTTGACAGGGAACTGAGGCAGGGTAGGACCTAACTTTCTAGGACATAGGGCTGGACTCACAATGAGAACTTGAAATACAATAAAGACTAAGTCCATTGTGTATGTGGTTTTTCCAACGTGTCCGGAGATGTTTACTGTGTTTTTTCCATGGCTTCTTGTCAACCAATGGAGACTACAAAACACTGGTTTGATTTGAGCAAAATTCAAACAGACCTTTCCTTCACTCGGGGCTTACTACACGTTAGGCGCTGTCCTTCTCACCAGCCCTTACCACAACTTCAAGGGCAGAACCAGTGCTGCTGGGGAGAGTGGGATGGTAAGAAAGCCCACATCTGAAAAGGCTGCAACCTTATCCAAAGTGACGCAACACATAAACAAAAGGCCCAGCCTAACATCCAGGGCTGTCTGATTCAAAGCATTGCTCATAAAAGCACATCGCCACAAATGTATGCATAGACCCATTTAAGAAATGTGAGGATTTCTATTTGAATTTACACTGGGCTAAAAATACTGCACTGTAGATACATTTTCCAAAAATGTGGAACTTGACTAATGTCAAACAAAGACCCTTTTGGCAGCAGAGTCAGAAAAATTCCATCTAGGAAAAGCTTAAGTTAAATTTTTGAAATTGTTTTTAAAATTAACCAACACTTACCTAAACTTTCCTTTGGATGCCATATTAAAAATCATTGATGCAAAGTACCCTGATTATTATCTTCTATATTTTATAAGTACACAGTACAAGACAATGTCAAATATATAAGACAGGTATATAAAACAGTGTTTAATGTGGAAAGAAATTAATTCGAACAGTTAACATGTGACTTAAGATCCCCAAGGAAGCAAATGTACTATCGCAGTGACAAAAATTTACATTTATAATATTTTCAGGGGAAAAAATTTACCATTACTACTTTCAAAGTATTTAAAAACACTGGCAATAAAGTACATGATTACAATAACGGGAGTGGAAATGGAACAAATGAGCCTATTAATTCCCTATATTTGTTTCTTCCTGATCCCAGTTAAAGACCCGCTTCACTGTGCCCATGACAACGACGAGTGAATGATCATGTAATCTGTGCGAGGGAGAACTGACCACTTCTACCACTCGGCTGTTGGAGTGACATTTCTAAACCCTACACTGACACAGCCACCTCAACGCTTGGAAACCTTCCAGGAATCCTGGACGGATCACATGGCATTTAGTCCCCCTTAGCCCTTTCACGTCACTTTACCTCATGTCCAGCTTCCTAACCCAGCGTTACAGAGCGGACACTATGACTCTTTTAAAACCGCACCAGACACACTGTCTGGCACACAACAGGCACTTAAACAGGCTGATGGACAAAGAAGAACTCAATTAGGGACCATCCTGACTTCAAAGGAAGGGTCATAAAATTAAGTATGTGCGTTAACACCCAGAAGGTGTCAAAGTCATTTGGAAAGTAGGTCAATTTGCTCTAAGCACTGGTATTACTGACTGGGCATCGATGACATAAGAAGTCATCAAGCCCTGTAACGTTTTTAAATGTTATTGATGATTCAATCCTATAAAATATTTCTCTGTCAATCACAAAACTAATTTAACTGTCAGCCACACAGGGTCAGACGTCAAAAACATGTGTTAAAAGGCCTTAATATGCCAAGATCTAGTTGATTAACAACTAACTTGCAGAAATTCCAACAATGTGTTCTTGTTTTAGACTTATTTGCATTGGCAAGGATTCCTAATGCACTCAGCTGGCTCTGCCTGGGTCTAATCTACTGGTGCCTTATCACTCAGGGGGAAATGCATTGCAGTGGCCTCCAGCTCGGCTATCTGCCTTTTAAAACTGCTTATCTGCTAGGTGGTCACAGCAAGGCTTGGAAAGACTAGTTCATAGATACAGTGGGTCCCAGCTTTTGGGCTTCTGTGTGTCAATCTCAAAAACTAAGTCACATTCATTTTTCTTCGGTATCAGGGATGGAACTCAGGGTCTCTTGGATGCAAGGCAAAGGCTCTGCACTGAACTATCTCTAGCCTAAATTATTTTCAATCTTAACTCACTGAGGCTTCATTTTTTATATGTCCTCAATAGTAGAATAAATGCTTGGAAAGTAAAAGGATGAACACACTCCCCAGAATGCCATAATCTAAGCCGAACAGTGAGTAGTGCCTGATGATTCTGTCCATCAAAAAGACAGCAAATAATTAAATATATTTATGAATCCGTTTTATTTTTTCACAACATGCCTCATACACAGGATTTGTTCCATTAAATATGGATAAAAGTGTAAAAAAGTGGAAACTTTCTAAAAGAGGAAAAAGCATTTAAATGTATATTATGACACTGTTATAAGAACTGTGACCATAAGCTTTGAGTTTTAGTCTTGTTCTACCACTCATGAGCTAGGTGGTGTTAGCCAAGGACCAGCTTAGGGTAGAAGTGGTTTCCAGAAACACTGGGGTACGAAGTTAATATCTGTCAGGAATGATTAAGGATACCTACCTATGCCTAGAAACCGAGTATAATGATATATATGTCCACACCTTTCATTTATGAGCAAGTCATTGAACCTCAAGAGCACACTTCCCATCTTGAAGAGGAAATGTTTGAATTTAGTGTTTCTCCAAGTATGGTTTTCCAACCATTTGTTCCCTAGTCATCCTTAAAAAGCACAGGTTCCTGGGACTCACACCAGCAACTGAATCAAAAGCTCTAGAAAATGAGATCCAGGAAACATTACTTAAAGAAGCTTCTTAGGTAAAAAGATTAGTTGGATACATTCCCGGCCCAAGTCAGTCTTAATCTCGAGTACTCACTGGATTCACTGCAATACATGTTTAAATCTTCTCTTTGTCCTGTGACAGAGAATCTTGCCAGTTCCTATCCAATGGTTTTATCTATGCTTTTCAAATAGAATAATGCTCTGGTTTTGGCATTTTTGGAAAATTCCCTCCAAAATAAACTGCTCTGTGTTCAGTTTATTCTTCATTTCTGTGAAAGACTAAAAATAAGATGCAAACGGGGTTTGGAAGGAGCAGCTCACAGGCCCAAGCTGAACAACAGCTATTTTGTTTGACTTGAGCATTATAATTTTTTAAAATCTGAACTTGAATGTTTTGAGCCAGGTCAGAGAATTGCCAGCTTGTCACAGTCACCAGCAGTCCTTCCTATATTCCAGCAAACCCATTTTCTTCATTTTGGTCCCCTGCCTATTTCTTCTTGCCATCTGTGTTCTTGCACCTTTAACCATGGTCCAATTCAGATGTCATGTGCCTACAACTCACGATCAGAAAGCTGAATAATCTATGGTCAAGCTCATTCAGAAGAGAAAGACACTTAGGGGTCAGGGGCATTGGCAGAGGAGGTCCAGAAAAACCCTGAGTGGAGGAGACAGGTCCCAGGTATCTCAACCACCAGGCAAGGAAGCTGTACTCCCACAGACCTCACTTGGTTTTCCTTCCTGGACACTCCGTCAGCCTCAGAGGAAGTGCTGTACTTACACAAAAAGAGCAGTTGCAGATTAGGGAATTGCTTTGGGATTTAAGCTAGAATAAATCAAATCTTAATAGGGCTCAGAAAAAAATAAAGATAAAATCTTGCCAAAACTTCATGACATGGAAAACCGTATGTTTACTTCCACAAATTTTAAGGATTAAATCAAGAAGTGGAAATGAGCTGACATCATACCACCCAAAAATGTAGAAGGAACACATATCTTCATAATTTGTGAATCAACATCCTTCCAATTTTACAAACAAAATTGATATGCAGAATTCTACATATAAATTCTCGAACACTGAAAGAATATGCCTGAAAAATTACCTTATAAAAATTTTTGAGTCTCCAAATAAAATCTTACATTTCTTATAATTTAATATATAAATTTACAACTATAATTTAAAATAAACCATGAAGAGTAACCATAGAGCTACAAATCTTTTCTTAGCCTCAGTATTTTTATGATAGAACAGTCGTGTTGAAGGTAGATTGCTCAATATAAATGGCTGGGAGGGGTTGCTAAAGTACACATTCCCCGGCCCTACTTAAGGTCCAGATTTGGTAAATAATCATGGGATCCAAATCCTGAAGTAGCAGCAGAGAAATCTTCTTTAAAATACACTGATTTAGGGAAACTGTGGCCCATTTAATTTAATTCCCTCATTCAATAAAGGTGAAAATTGAGGGCCTGGAAGGGAGACTTAATTGCCAGGACCATCCAGTTAGTTAGTGACAGAGGTGGACTGGCCCCTAGGTCTCTTTCTACTTGACCTCACTACCCCGCAGGGTTTATAGACTCTCATAGCAGAAAATATAGGAGACAACACTGTTACTATCACGAGACACCTGCAAGAAAAATGGCCCTCCATCCTCGCAGTTGTGGGCAAGTCCTGGAATGTACTGCGGAATCAAAATGATGAGACATACAGAAAGGAACACAAAAGGGTTTACTCACACATTTTAACAGTTCAGATTTCTTTTGTTTGTTTCAAGCTAAATTTGAAAATAATGTCAATAATGTGAGGCCGAAGTACTGCAGTGACACGTTGCATGTCCAACCTAAAAAGAGCTGTTTGTTAAAATTCCTAAAGAACTTTATCTGCTCTGCTCTTAGGCTGGCTTTTGCACACTTGGTAGGCTTAGGGGCAAACATACAGTCATAATGAAATTCAGCTACAAAGATGATACCTACAATAGATGCCCGAGAATGAACCATTTGAGTCAGAATGAAATGGACAAGAAAGTATTTTAAAAGTTAATGTCCGAAAGATCTACTTACACAGTGGATTTCATTAATTCATTCTTTTATTCAAAGTCATCTTTTTAACTGTGAGACACAAAGCCTCAGGATGACTTCCTGTCCCCCAAATACTACAAGGCAATTTTTAAAACCCTGTACTCACAAGGACCTGGCAGCTATGCTACCCATCTCCCCCGCCCCTTATCACTTGCTCTGACTTCTGCCAGGTACCTCCTCCCTCCAGAAGTGCTCAAGCACACCTTCAACTTCCTTCTTGAAAGGTCACCTGCCCACAGGGGCCCTACCTGGCCACGTCACACCAACAGTATCTATATGCATTCTTGTTTACTTTTTATTGACAGAAGTTATTACCATCTGCAATCTTACATATGTCACTTATTTACTTCTTGTCTGGCTTCCCCTTGTCCTCATTAAAATTTGAACTTCATGGGAGCCAGAATTTTTGCCCATTTCATTCTCCATTGCATCCCAGTGCCAGCAACAGCATCTGTCACACAGGGTGGGAGTTCATCAGCAGTAGCCGATATCCAGGGACCAGTGCCAGAGAAGATTACATGTGCTAGGCACTGAGGGTGACCTAGTTAAAACACACACTGGATATGCTGCTTGGATTTGCAGTCTAGCAGAGAAGACCAATTAATGACACCCCCCCCCAATACATGAACAATTAAGTGTATGGCAAGAGCTCTGGAAAGTTTATGGGATTCAAAACATAATAGGCTTCCTAGGAGGTATTGCTAAGAAAATTATTAATAAAGTAAACTATGGAAATGAGCCAGCTCAGAAGGTGGGATAGACCCTAGAGGATACATTTAGGATGTCAGTTGTTCTGAAGGACCAAGGGTGACATGGTAAGATTTACATCACAGACTCTTCGGGTCGCAGTGTGCCAAGTTTACTGAGGAGGGCTGGGATGGAAGCGTGGGGTCCAAATGGCATTGAGGGGAGTGTTAGGAACGGGGGGAACAGGCATATCAAAATGTACATGGATCATCTTCCCCTGGTCCTGGTTCTGAGTCCAGGCTCACCTTCTCCGACAGCGCCTCCTCTAACGTTGCCAGTGCAGTGTCTGTGTTGCTGGAATCCGTCTGCAAGGACTTCACTCTGTCTTTCAGATTGGTCAGCTGCTTGTCTTTATCCCTAAGTTGTTCTTGCAAGTTTTCAATCTAAAAATAAAGATCATGTTTAAAGCATATTTTATTACATAGCCAGGGCCAATATTTCTGAAGTAGATCTGGTTTTCTAAAAATTTTTCTTAGATTATGGGCATTAGTAATATTACAAGATTACATTTTGACTTAGACTTGAGGACATTTTGATGAGACTTTCACCCATTTAATTCAACTTTATATTTAAATAGCAATACAGATGAGAAGACTATATCTTTCTCCTTCTATACAAATTCAAGCCTTTTCAGACATATAAGCACTATTGTTTTTCTTTATTTTTATCCCTTTAAGCAGACCACTCGGTCTCAAGTCCTTAAACCTAAGCTTGGCACAGTGAACCAGAACAATGTTTACACAGGACTAGTTCATTCATTGAACAGAGATGCATAGGGTTCCCATTCTGCACCAAGTAACATACCAGTGTAGCAGAGCACATGCAGTTATTCACTCGATCTTTTATTCAGTATTAAACACTGTGATAGGCCCGATGCTGTCAAGTGGCTATTTCAAAGTAACCACATGAAAAGCCAAGTAGGTTATCACCAGCAGACTGCTAATGGGAAGAACTTGTGATATAAGTCATATGCAACAACCACTAAACACTCCATTTGGCAACTAAGTCATGTGCTGGCAACCAACCAGCCACTTTTATCCAGTATCTGCAGCCTAAAATAAACACACCAAACAGCCGATTATAATGCCTGCCCAGCAGCAGCAGCAGCAGCAGCAAGAACCACCTCCTGCGCACTGCACCCATTATCATTCCTGTTTTTATTTTCCACTTCAAACCATGTATTTCTTATCTAAGGATTTTTTAAAAGCCCCACTATACAAACAATTTATTCATATAAAGGGTTTTTACATGACATGAAAAAAAAGCAGTGCAATTCTGAGATAAGTCCATTCAAAATATTTGTATTCTGCACCCAGCTATCTCAGGGAATCATTCCAAATGCATGTTACACAATATCTGACTCACACAAATTTTTTGATTACTTCATTTTTTTAGCATGAACCTGGACTGGCAATAAAAATAGTCGTGGTGGCAGAAGTAATGAGGACCGGGCAGTGACAATGAAGGTGGTGGCAGGAAAAGCATCAGAACACCTCTGAAGGCAAAGACAATGACTGCTGACCCGCAACCTGCAGAACATGTGCTTATCTAATTTTTTCAGTGGTTACTATGGATACGGGTTAAAAGAGAGATCTTTTTTGCTTCCTCCCTCCTTCTATCCCTCTCTTCCTTGCTTTCTTCCTTCTGTCTTTCATCAGTCTTCCCTCCTTTTTTCTTTTTTCTGCTTTGAGATAGACATCTTGGAAACTCAAGTTTTAAGTCAAATAGTTAAGCCTCTCCCTCATCTAAATACAGTGTTCCCTACCATCCAGCTGCCACTGTAAGAATTCATTGCCCCTCACAGAAACTCAAAAGCATCATCATCTTCAGTCAAAACGAAGGCTTCTTCCTTTCGATACTAGTTTGCATGTGGTTGCACAACACCAGAAGCAAATACATGTGCCGGGAAGAATATGGATGGTTACAGTCAGAATGGTAGTATTTCCATAGAAAACAGCAGCTGAGAGGACTGAATGTGGAGACGGCATGCATTACTACTTCGAGTATACCAACATCCATGGATATATTTCTATACAGACACAGTGCGCAAATATACTGTGCTTCCAAGTGAAATAATTACACTCACCCTTACCATCCTGGGACACAGAACCCTGACCAAGGGAAAGGAGACATTCTTTAAGGGCATCAGCCCTGGGGCAGTGATAAACACCCACTTAAAGGGATGTTGGGAACTGGAAGTAGAAGCAAAAGGAAGCCTGGCTGTCAGCTTACGTGAGACTGCTCAGGGCTTCCTCAGGTAACAGGAGGAGTAAGGAGAACCAGGACTGGGGTCCTACGAATACACATGTAGGGTCTGAGAGCTGTGGAAATGTAAGATGGTGTGGCCTGGGAACATGCAGGTGAAATCACTATCTCAGATCTAAGATCACAGCAGAAAAATCAATGGTACCACAGGCAAGACTAACAGATTTAGAGGTGGACACGTATGTAGAGACAGGCATGCACTACTTTATGAAATGCTGCACAAAAATAATCAAGAATGATTTTTAAGAGAGAAAAACAAGATGCAGAACAGCGTGGAAATATGGTCTCTTGCACAGATTTTAAAAATCTATAAATAGATAACATATACTTGGGTGAAAAATCACAAGAAATTTTAACCTCTGAGAGAAGGGAATCTAAGACGCAGGAGGTACAGGAGAGCCTCTGGGTTTCCTGTTTGTACACTTCTGTAGTTTTCTGTTTGATTTTTTATCATGTGGGTTTTATTACTGGTTTAATCTCAACCAGAGTTATCTGGCTGGGGAGATTAGGCTGTATTTGCATATTGCAGTAATATTAAACATATGAGTACAGAAATAATTATATAATACAAGTACTACACAAAACTAAATTGGACAAGTATTATTGTTCGGGTGTAGCTTCTTCCCCAGAGGTTCATGTTCTGTCCTGGAAACTTGGTACTCAGCGTGGTGATGTTTAAATATAGAGAAACCTGTAAGAGGTGTGGCCTAGAGGAAGGCGGTTAGGTATTGGGAGAACCACCCCCATGAATGGATTAATGCTATCCTGCAGGTGGGTCCGTCCTCACAGGACTGGATCATTTCTCCCAAGAGTGCTTTGTTATAAAAGAGCAAATCTGGTCCTTTGTAAGTCTCTGGCTTCGGGGCAGGGGATATAGCTGAGCGGCACAGCTCCTGCCTGGCAAGTGCGAGGTCGTGAGTTCGATTCCTGGTACCAGAAAAAAAAACCCACTAAGTCTCTGGCTTCTTCTTTCTACATGTGACCTCTCACTCTTGCAAATGCTCCCACGGTGTGAGGCCATCTGCTATGCTGTGATATAGCCAAAATATTGCCAATAGAAACTGATGGTGATGCTATTATGCTTCTGGAGCTGCAGAACTGTGAGATACATAAACTTTATTACTATGTGACATTCCCAGCATCAGGTATTTTGTACAGCAACACAAAATAGAACAAGACAGCAAATTATCAGCAATCACAGACTGTTCATTCATTTAAACCATGGCTATTAGATACTGATTTAAAATAAAGAGCAAAATAAAAGACAGAAAACAGGAAATAGGGAGATAGGTCCTGCTCACAAAGGAAAGGGATTAAGAGATGGAGGAAGGGAAAGGGGAAGGCAAAGAAACAGGATGAAAAAGGAATTAAGATGTTATGTGCATGTATCAACTCCATACAAGCAATATAAACATTAAGTACTACAAACATGTACTATTAAAAAAAATCATGGTTGAAGATAATTGCTAACTAAATGGAACTGGTAGAACTTTATGGGGAAAAACAGAATACAAAATGATATCAATTTTGCAAAAAGAAAAAGTTCTTTCACAGAACAAAAAAAAATGTATATAAAAGCAACACTCCAAACTGTTTCATTTGGCAATGAGGTGATAAATTATTTTACATTTCTTCTTCATATTTTTCGGTATCTGCCAACTTGTTTTTCTTGATCATAATAAAAGAGAATAAAAAGACATTTTCAAACCAAGAACAAAATATGGAAATGGTTCCTTAAGTGATATTTAAACAATAAATTGTATTTTTAAAAAATGATTCATTGCTCAAGGAACTGTTACTCCAAGTAGAACTAAATTCTTAAAATTTAAATTTTAGGAGACTGGTGAGAACATAAATTTTTATCTTTAGAAAATTATTTCATGGCTTTCTCATGTTCTAAAATTGTTAGAACATTTTCAAGAAAAGCATTTAGGATCATTTTATTCAAAGGGTGAAGTTATACAATGTTCAAATTGCAGAAATTAAAGAAGAAATAAAAAAACCAGGGTTAAGATAGGGAATCTCAAGCATGTAAACTGAACAAAATTTTTTAAATTTTGCACATTGCAGAACACAATCTATCTTAGTAACATAGTCAATAGACTATCAGTGTAATTATTGAAGTAAGAGACTAGCCTGATTACAAGGAGCTAAAGAACTATCTTGCACTTGCCACTGAATTGAGCTACTTTTTGGTCAGAGCTGATGGCTCGGTTACTTTTTTCTCTTTGCTGAGACAAGATACCTCAATGCCCAAAATTAAGGAAGGAAAGGTTTATTTAGTTCAGGGTTTGTGGAGGTTTCAGTCTGTAATCAGCTGGCCCCAAGGTAGGGTGGCATAGCACAGGGACAACAGTTCAAGGCTGAAGGAGACAGAAAAAACAACAAGAGCAAAGAGGAAGGACAACAAGCCTCTTCTTCTCCGTTCTATTGTATGCAGGCTGCACCCACCCCCCAACCCCAAGGTGGGTTTAGCATCCACACAATCTCCACACCCTCCTCCTGTACAAGATGAGGATGTTTACAATGTAAGGACCATGGCTCCCTGCTGAGTCCTTTACTTAAATTTCTAAACTTCTCAAGTTGACACAGTGTATCAATCATTAAAATCCACCCCTTGTCAAGTTGGCACCTGGACACATTTCTTTAAAACCAGTTTTCAGATACAAAGATGTGCTTATTCTTAACATTTCATAACTTACACATTATAACACAGGTTTAACAATCCTTAAGAAACACTATTAAGTCTAAAAACATTATATTACATTAGAACCATAACATTCGGCCTGCCAAGGATTCATGCACACCTCTTTATGCAAAAGGCATTTATTCTATTTCTAAGCACTGCCAAAGTTCTAACAGTTTCAGCATTGCTGAAAAGTCCCAAGTCTTCTCTGAGATGTGAGGCAAACTCTTAGCTGCAAGCCCCTATACAAATGAAAACAAAGTTAAAACACTTCCAACATTCAATGGCACAAGATAAACGTTTTTATTACAAAAGTTACAATCAAGAATGCAAAGGATTGGGAGTAAAGGAAGTCCAAACTCCAGCAAGGCAAACGTCAAGTCCTGTACTTCCATGTCAAGCATCTGAAGCAATCTGTGGCAAACTGTGAGC